ACTCAACGGCTCCTTTAAAGGCAGATTCTTTGGCTAACTTATCAGCTCTATCATACATTCGGAGGCCAACATGAGATGGAGACCACATGAAATGGACTCTGTTACCATCATTAATAATTTTGTTGTATTTGTGTCTAGCTTCGGACACGAGCATGTTACAGTTATGTCTTAAAGAGTTCACAGCAATTAAGGATGATAAAGACCAGGGGCCAGATTCACGAAAGCACTTACGCAAACACTTACGAACCTGTACATCTTTTCTCAATCTTTGGCGGCTTTGTTTCCAATTATTAAACGGTTAATGAGCTCCGAAGCACCAGGAGGCTGTTTATAACAATAACAAAAATTGAATAGGAAGTTTTCATGCTTGTAAACTGTTTAATAAATGTAACCAAAGCCGTCAAAGATTGAGGAAAGATGTACACGTTCGTAAGTGCTTGCGTAACTGCTTTCGTGAATCTGGCCCCAGGACACAGGTGCTCCCTGGCTCCAGCATCAGAGGACCTCCACTGTCACCCTGCAGGATGAACACACATCATGCGCCTCCTCTTAGCTGCCAACACCCACACATCGTGTCAGCAAGGCGGACAGCCCGCCTGCTTTCATACCTCTCACTGTATTTCCCACTTCTATACTTCCCTTCACATATGCCTCTCCTTCCTCTTTACTCCCCCCCCCAAAAAAAAATGCGCCTCCTCCGTGTTCATGGCTTATAACACTTGCTTTAGAATGATTATCTTTTGGGACATAATTATCATGGAGATCTTCACTGATATTTCCAGCTTAGAACTAAAATTATCCGGGGTCAGATCTCAGTAGAAACATTCAGAAGATAGTTAAAAGGATTTTTTTTATGTTGATAACTTTAATAGGAGTTAGTAGTCTGTCTGTTGAAACGTTAATTTTTTTAAAGCAATGAATGACACAACCTTCTGGGTCGTCCTCTGGATCTTGAGATGGATTAAATTGTACTGTTTCTCATAATGTTTGATGAGAAACAGAGAGATAAGCTGGCAGAGTTACATACAGCAAAAGGGACATAATATCTGAGAGAATATCTGAATAAAAGTCATCAAACAATATAGACTGCGACCATCTATAACCCATCTGTCTGATGCTTATAAAGGAAGGAAGGAAAATACTTTTTTTTCCACAGGTGAGTACAGGAGCACACGGGTTGACTGGTGTTAGCAGGCTTAGATCTTTCCCTTTACAATGCTCATCTCAGATGCAGACGAGGAGTCACTATAACGTGGCTGAAATACGACTTGAGAATGGTCCAGGACGGACCGAAACGTCGTCGTCCCTTCACTTTCTAGTGTGTGAGCTTTCTCATCTCAGATCTTAAGCGCTAATCTTCTAGCTTCCCCCCTGAGACACGATCCGCTAACTGGTTTACAACCAGGTTCCTATGCTTAATATATTTCTGCCGGTCTATTTTTCACCTAGTTGAACTCGCCTAACAGAACACCTTTTTCAGTGTCAGAGTAGTTAATAAATGGAATGCATTAGGTAGTGATGTGGTGGAGGCTGACTCAATACTGCTTCACTGACGAATTTTGTTCGAACCTCAACGCTGTAAATGCTTCATGCACATACTACACATACAAATAATCGCCAACAGAACCTAAACACCTAACCTAACCTATGCCTATATATATGCACAATATGCTAATATATTACAATATTCATTTATATTTGAGGAAATTCCTCTTTTGAATGAACAGCATGTTAAAATTTATGAATGCGTCTGTGGGGTCGACCGCTGGATGTAATGGACGAGTCGACGATGGGTTGGAGGACGGGTTCTCCGAGGTGTAAGTTTGCATCGCGTAAGCACAATATACCAAGAAGGTGGAGCTTACATTGCTTTCGGAGAAGGCAATTTAATTTCATTGTGGCTTGAGAAATTTGAATTTGAATTTTGAATTTGAATTTGAAAAATATTTTAGGTGTGTGCCAACCGAGGACTTTATAAGGACTAGACTAACCACATGATTATTTAAACAATCCTCTTATATTTTTTCTATAATTACTGCTGTCAGATTATTATCAGCAAATAAATAAAAATACCTGACGATTATCGTACAGCACCATCTCACGATAGGCTGCTAGTGCCCTTGTTGTCCTGAATTATTCACAAAACAATGCCATGTTATCCCTAAAGACTCTGTAATCTAGCCCCGCATGAACAATATAAGGACCACATATATAATTCATGTAGGCTACATGTAGGTCACGACACACAAAAGAAAGAGGAGCGTCCCAAGTGGTTCAGCGCCAATTATCTCATCAGTGGAAAGTAGAACAAGAACCGTACAACATTCCCTGAGTATTGTATAGTCACGCAAGAGCTGGGAAGACATTGTTGATAATGTGAGCTACAGACTGGGGCATCCTCCCCGGTCATTATACGAACCCAGGACAGAGCGCTCACGGAACGCCAGGCGAGTGTCTTACCACTAAAGATTGATTGATAAAGGTTAAGCCACCCAAGAGGTGGCACGGGCATGAATAGCCCGTAAGTGGTTGCCCTTTTGAGCCATTACCAGTATCAAGAGATGATACTGGAGATCTGTGGAGGCGCGACTGCACCCTGCGTCTCTTACCACTACGCCACGGAGACTGTATAAACCCATGGAACCACCTACCCGCCGAAGCCATAAACGCCAAAACTATTACATTTTAAAATGCAACGAGAATAGATTAAGACAAAAAGAAGGGGGGAATCCTGTCCTCGTCGAGGTCACTAGTGTTAGTGGCTCTCAGGTAAATTCTAAGTTTCATATTATTTTTTTCGAGGTTCCCCTTACTTTTACGTTTTCTTTGCTACGTTTCTCCCATCCCATGTAGTTGTGGTGAACTTATTTATATCTGTTCCGGCCCTACATCTTTCCATTCTACAGTAGCTTTCACCTTACTATAGCTTTCCCCCCTACCATAGCTAGTCTTAGGCCCTGCTAGTTTTCCATGGAAAACGATCCGCCAATCGACTTACAACGTTCCCAATTACTGCCAGGTGAGCAGTAGTGAACGGTTAAAATTGGCGCCTCCCTTACGAAATCGTTCGCGAGGAGCTAGGGGCCAGATTCACGAAGCAGTTACGCAAGCACTTACGAACCTGTACATCTTTTCTCAATCTTTGGCGACTTTCTTTGCAATTATTAAACAGTTAATGAGCTCCGAAGTACCAGGAGCCTGTTTATAACAATAACAACAGTTGAATGGGAAGTTTTCATGCTTGTAAACTTTCATAAATGTAACTAAAGCCGTCAAAGATTGAGGAAAGGTGTACACGTTCGTAAGTGCTTGCGTAAATGCTTTCCTGAATCTGGCCCTTATTTATTTATTTATTTATTTATTTATTTATTTATTTATACAAGAGTTCTTACATTCTTGTACAGCCACTATAACACTCATAGCGTTAGGACAAGTCCTTAATCCTAATTTTTACTCACACACACACACACACACACACACACACACACACACACACACACACACACACACACACACACACACACACACACACACACACACACACACACACACACACACACATCCCCAGAAAGCAGCCCGTAGCAGCTGTCTAACTCCCGGGTACCTATTTACTGCTAGGTAACAGTAGTGAAAAGATCAGGTATCAGGGTAAAATAATATTTGCACATTTGTTTCCGCCTGGGATCAAACCCGGACCCTTAGGACTACGAACCCTGAGCGCTGTACACTCAGCCGTCGGGCCCCAAGTACTTACCTATCAGTGTCTTCGGGGAAATGAGATCTAGCTCTTTATGCCCGCCTATTAGCCTTGTTATGCCTGTTGCGTTATAATTCATTATTCTGACTTTCGAATTCCTTATCGAATCTGGCCTTAAAGTTGTGGATGGAGGTGGCTTTTACAACTTCTTCTTTTGGTGCACTATCACTGCACATTTCTGTGGCCTCTATAATCCGTTTGCGCTAGCGCTCACAAGATAAGCAAATTTTTTAGTTCATGATTATGCATCCAATACCTTCATGTGAAACAACTCAAAGTTTAGTTTAGTTCATTTATTATGCACCCCATACCCATCTTGTGGGCGGTAGTGGAAAGGGTTACAGAGGCACATAATGGGCTCAGGGACTGAACCTCACAATTCATTTAGCTAAGCAAGTTACACTCTTGATGAGCTAGTTACTAAATTCAGTATAAGTCGTCATATCATCAATGGGTCCGAGATCGACCAAAAGTACAGTTTCTAAATTAAGCAACTGACATATGTGGAGAACTAGTGTCATAATTGATATGTTTGCCCTGCACACCGCCCCCTTCCCCCATCCAGCGGTGGATAGGTTACAATCACTTAATTCCACAGCTCAAAGTGGCAGGATATTCTGGTGCTTAACCCAGATTTTGTTAGTGCAAGGTAATAGATCAGCCTCGGATTTTATGTTCTCCCTGAGCCATATATAGCTAACTATCCTGTGAGATCGGGTTATTAGATGAACTTAATGGCTAGTTTTTTTATCTACAGTTTGTAATCCTTCATATTACATAAGACAAATAGGGGACCTTCGACAAGCCGCTGGTTTCCAGTCCTCGTCGAGGCCACTTGGGTTAGTGGCCCTCAGATAAATCAGGTAAATATAGAATAGGAGTAGCAGCACATCTCTGTATATATATATCTAATCTTATGAATACAAACAAATGAATTAATAATAGGCCTGCAGGCTGATTCCATTATACATTCTTATATCGTTTACTTCTAGAATATATTTATGCCATTAAAGTGTTTGTAATAATTGCTCCCACACACGTTAAAAATACATGATTCACGCTGTACAAAGTGGTCATACAAAGTTGCCACAGAATACAAAATATATATAGATATTATAGGCCATTGGAATTGGGAGCGCGGCGGCCCTGTTTTGTTTACCTCAGAGGCGACCACCAGGATGCTGGCGAGGGTGAGTGTTGCTCTACCCTCCCTCTACACTCCTCTCGTGGCTCTATATACCCCCTCTCCTGGCTCTATATACCCCCTCTCCTGGCTCTTCTCTCCCCTCCTGGCTCTACACTAACCTGGGCGTGAGGGGTGAGGCTTTACTACTAGAGTGGCTGTGAGACCACCGAGGAAACCTTCAGACTTCACAGTAAAGCAACAATTGGTAACCTCGTCAATGTACTTCACAATATGTTGTTGTTGATTGAAGGGTGACGACGACGAGATAATAAACTTTGGGATCTGAATTCAATAATACACATAGACATAAATTCATTAAGTGACATCTTCCACGCTAAAACTTCAAGCCTCTACGACATACACTCTCCTCTTTTTTTCCTTTTCTCTTAACCCTTTCCACTACTGCCCACAAGATGGGTATGGGGTGCATAATAAATGAACTAAACTAACTCTTCTCTCCTTTTCTCTTCTCTCCTTTTCTATTCTCTCCTTTTCTATTCTCTCCTTTTCTCTTCTCTCCGAGCTGACAAAAGATTAAACAACCCTGGCTTACAAAAGACATGCTTAGAGCAATTAACAAGAAACATGAATATAAAAACAAAATAGAATTAGCCTATTTACCAAAGGAAAGATACTCATCAATGCTTATAAGAAGAGCGAAAACTATCTTATTTTGACACTAAATTCAAAGAAGCAAAAAGAAACATGAAAAGCATATGGAAAACGATCTCTAGCATTCTTGGATCTGAACAATTGCAAAACAAACATTAAAAAATTGCCAAAGATGGGTTCACACTTGCAACAGACTTTAGCAGCTGCAACCGAATGTAATAGTTTCTTTTTATTAATTGTGTTAACCTTACCAGAAATACCAGTGAGATATGTGGTGACATATGTCACCACATATCTCACAGGCAGCTGTCCTAACTAATTATTTTGACTATCAGCCGAACAGACATTATATCAATAATTCACACCTTAAAACCAAAGATGGGAACCTTAATGAAACACAAACTATGATATACACATGATATATCTGGGGTAGGGTGAAACAGTGAAGGAACAGTGTCCATCCACTTGAAATGTCGGGGATCGAACGCCGACCTACATGGAAACAAGACCGTTGCTGTACCGACAAGTTTAAGTAGGTCAATTTTTTATGGATTAAAAATTTCTTAACTGATAGAAAAATGAGGGCCGTAATCAGAGGCAATGTATCGGATTGGAGGAATGTCACAAGTGGAATGTCATAAGTGAACCAGACCAAACAAAAGAAGGTGAAGGGACGACGACGTTTCGGTCCGTCCTGGACCATTCTCAAGTCGATAGAGAATTGACTTGAGAATGGTCTAGGACGGACCGAAACGTCGTCGTCCCTTCACCTTCTAGTGTGTGGTCTGGTCAACATTCTTCAGCCTCAGCCACGTTATTGTGACTCATCGCCTGCAAATGTTGATCAGTTATTTTGTTATGCTGTAACAATTAGTTTTTCATTGGAACATGTCTTTCCATTACTAGGACAGAGAACTGATGTCTTGATCTGTTAATGAACCATATATGCTCGAAGCAGACACTGTAAAGAAGTATTTAAGACTAACCTCCGTCTCATTTTAGTTTTTCAGGTAATGTGAAGATACCTTGAAGAATGCCACCCCACAAGCAAGTTGTGAGTTTGCAGACATGTACACTCAGAAGTGTGGCTTATCTCCTCAGGTGTCTTTGTTGTGACAGTAATATTGGTACAGATGACTTGTTACCAGCAATAAACTATATGCAAATCTTTCTTCCTCCACAAATTCAAGCATCAGTTTGTCATACACTTCTGCATGAGACACATAAGGTATGTTGTTTTTCTATTATATATGATATGAATGTTTAATCTGTAATATAATTCACCAATATACATTACTTGTTTGCCATGTTGTGACTCACTAATATCCATTACATGTTCACCATGACATGGCTCACTAAAAGTCCATTTCTTGAACAGTCTTTTCCCATATTTCTTAGCTCTTGACACATTGACCCAAGTGCAGGGTAGTTTTTACAATCTTTGTCTAGAAACATAGACAAGAGTGTCAAATTTAATAAATTATTCTTAATAATTTGTTCCTGCCTGGAATCAAATTAAAAATTACATTTTGTTCTCATCCTACCTCGTCTTTTACAGTTTGTGGCAATTACACCATTTATTGCAGAAAATAGCTTCAATCATTTACCCTATATACCTGTACTGTATGGAAAGTTTATGGAAAATTTTGTGGCAACTTGGGTACTGCCAAGTGTCAAGACACTTGTCACGGTGTAGTTACCAGACATTCACTGCTGGGAAAACTCTGGAGCACCTGCAGCAGTGCATAAAACGAAATCACAAAAATGGCAGAAATTGTATGTTCAGTATATGCTAAAAACACATTTTGAAATATACAAAATATGTACAGTATTAGAAACCAGTTAAAAAATATATTATCATTACTTTTTCCATGATTTGGAACATTGTAGTTATTTTTTGTATTTGTCAAATTTAATTAAGTTTTTGGAAGCTGAAAACTCAAATTTTGAATTTATGAATATTAGAACATAAGAATGAAAGTACGTAACTGCAGAAGGCCTATTGGCCCATACAAGGCAGCTCCTATTTATATCCACTCAATATCTCAATATAGATTATTTGAACTGACATCTTGTCAAGAGTTAAACAATGTCGTGTTTTAACCCTCGCAATTTCACACCTTTTATAATGACATTCTCGTGGTGTGCCAAAAATTGTTCCAAAAACAGTATTTTTTCTATTGATATTCTTAATTAGCACCCAGGAAGCACGAAAATCCAAATAAAAAGTCTCTACCTCTTGTAATTTAGCTGTTGTGGCCTGGAGAATTTGCATATTTTTAGTAAAAATGAGGCGAGTTGCCACATGGGAATAACTTTGCCAGTTTATTTTGAATGTTTCTCACTTTATTTATTTACTTTTTTGATGGGTGCTCCGTCAGCTCCCTGGAGTATCGGACTGATATTAGCTACAGTATATTAGTCTGGGGCTTCAGTCATACTGACTTCTATGCCTACCGGGAACCACGAGCCAGAACCTGGTTCCCTCAGAGGTGAAGGGAGCAATGGCCTATGTTTTCTTATACTGTACTCTCCATGAATATACTCTCCATTCTTTGAGAGTATATTCATGTCTGCCATCAACCGAGGTTAGACACCCAGAAGGGTGGGCGCCCCAAAACATACCCCAACTGGTTGAAAAGTGCAACCCAAGATCGAACAGAGCTCAAGAACTCCTCCCCAAAAAAAAAAAACAAGCAAATCGTCATCAATCTGACGCACCACTCGTTCCCCCCCCCCTCCTGGGGGTGAATGAGTGGTGCACCCTAAGACCATGGCATTAGGAATGTTATGTAGGCCTCAGTAATGTGGGCCACGTTACTAAGGCCATGGAAGGAAAGTGAAGGACTCTGGATTTTTTCAAGATTGGGGATGGTTACTGGAGGCCTGAGGAAGCAAATATGTACCCCCCTTGTATGAATGGGAGTTTCGGATCTTATGATGTACTAACATCATCACATGTCAACTAGCACACTACCACACCCCTGAATATGTCGGCTGGCGTAGTGCAGGGGTTAATTGTGTTTTCAAAGTCGGATGTGAATAATGAGTTGTATTTGTGGTTCTATTGTTGATAATGACAAAGATGATGTATAGTTTGATCACTGTTAGGATGTGGTACAATTGTTATTCTCAGTGTTAAAACCACTATTACACTTCATTATTCACATTGACATTGAGAATATAATACAGATGCACAGTGTTGTTTTACCCACACGGGTGGTCATATACATCGCATAGAAGAGCGTCATACTGTACCTCAAAAAATTATAGACTTTGATAGCTATCATTTATATAATAAAAAAGAATATAGTAATCTGAAATACTGTACTGTACATTGATTTCAATATACTGGAATACATTTTGCTATTACAGGAGGTCATTGATATCAGCGATATTGAAGAAGATGGATTCCAATTTCCACGGGTAAGCACTCTTATACCAAGTTTCAAAGTGCGGAGTGAATTTTGGAGTTAAATGAGTCGAGACTGGCTTAATGTGGATTAGCATATATGATCTATGGTAATCCTCGACTGGATCTTGTTCTCGGCAGCAAGTCGGGCTTCCACACACCTTACTTTAGTGTGTTTTACAAACGTTTTGTGTTTGCATCATTTAACATCTCGTGCATTCTCGACTTCGTTACTGTATGTGTAGAATTTGTGACTTGAAAGTGGAGGGAGCATTAAGAATCTGGATTCAAACTGATGTTTTGTCAACTGAAGAGCAGAAAGATGGAGAGTTCTGTATGTATTCCTGTATTCACCTGTGTTCTGCCCTGTATTCCTTCACATATCTCTTCCTTTCTCACTCTATTGATGGCAAGGCATTTGATGATGCTTAGTGCCATGGTCAATCTGCCTACATGAAGTATATATTCCTTTCCCCAGCTGTCTAGGAAGCAGATTTTACCAAGATATTACCTGGAGAGGGTTCTGGGAGTTCTTCTACTTCCCAAGCCCAGCCTGGGGCCAGACTTGATTTGAGAGCTTGGTCCAACAGATTGTTGCTTAGAGCAGCTTGCTGGTAGAGATCCTTGTCTGTCTACTGTCCTATCATGGGTTTTTGAGGGATGAAACCATATTCCTAAAATGTTTGTCTCACTGTTCGACACTCACAGACTTTCTTCTGCTGCATTTGAGTTTGATTTCCTTTTCTCAAACTTGGAGGAGCTTTCATCTTTCATCTTAACTGGCCAACTTGTATGTTTTTACAATAATAAATATAACTCCAACAATTTTTGTAAAGTGCAAAAGTGTACAGTGTGAAGGAGCCCAACTTACTGCTGGGTTTGTGGTGTGCCCAAGAATTAGCACAAATTATAGTATCCACAAAAGTCACTTTAATCTATTCTCAACCTGTGTAACTTCAAAATTCACCGTCACACTTTGAAACTTGGTATAAAAGTTTTTAACCATATAACTCTGAATCCATATAATCTAAGCACAAATTGTTGTCCAATTGGAGAACAGTGTGGGTGGCTTGGGTTACAGTATTTGTTTTCAGCAATGTTACTGGAACGTTTTCTCTGCAAAATCAGAGAAGTCGTATCAGTCTGCCAAAACAACTTGGTGAAGCAGATACCATTTTCTATCAAGCAAGATTTATTTTGGTCCACCAAGAGATCCATACATGCGAGGTTTACTGTGCAGTGATGTACTACTCACAAACACCCTTCTGTTTGTGGGTTTCTGTTCCATGTTGGCTACTGCAAGTCATGGTTCCCGGCTCTATTTTCTGGTGGCTGGCTGCCAGAGATGTTGGTCCTGGTTTCTGATCTCTGCATCAGATTCTTATGGGGTGTGGGTTCCTAGAAGTCCTCCTGGGGTTAGGTCACTAGGTTTTGCAGACTGTCAACCAAGAAGCATCACTGCTGTCTGATTCTGCCTTCTATTCTTCAGGGACTGTGTGCTTTCTTCTGGCCACCTCTTTTCCTAGTGTTGGGGTTGGTAGCTAGGCCCATGTATTGGAGAGGATTGTTTTCTTCCATTGGTTGGCTCTCCACTGGTGTCCTGCTTGTTGGGTACTTTCAGGTTCATCTTTGTGGTGATGAATTTTGTTGAGTATAGAGTACAGTACAGTACTGTTCTGTTCCACCTTTCTTTCTTCACTTTTCCTTGTAACTGGTGCCTTTCTATATTCTATCCAGGCTGTATCTGGTTTGGTTCATTATTTGGGCATTGGATTTATTCTGTTGGCCTTTTCTTGCCCCCTGGGTTCAGGGCCATGCTGTTCTGGAGTCTCCAGGTTCTGGTTCTGTTCCACCTTCCTGCAGTCATTCTGCATTTCCATGGTGGGGGGTTGGTTGGTTTTTCTTGGATGTCTTTAATTGTACCACACCTGTGGAGCCCTTTGGTGTTTGGTTCTCCATGGTTACTGCTTTATCCCATGAGCCTTAGTTTTCTGCTGCCATTTCCCACTAGTCATTCCTTTTCAGCTTACTTGTTCCTTCTGTTCCTTTTTGGAGAGTCATCCTCTTCTGCCAAGGTGCTGTGGGTAGTAAGCTCTGGGAGCTATTGAGGGACCCCTCCCAGAAATAAAGTGTTGAATGCAGCAAAACACACTTTTCTGATGGGTCTCTCAGTAGATCCCCTTTCCTATCCGGTTCCCTTCTCCTGTGGGAGTTTTGGAGTTTTGTTCTAGCAGCTTGTGAGTGAAGTGGCAGTTAGTCTAGGCTCTAGTTGACTGCATAGTGTTGCAGTTAGATGCATCACTATTAGGGTAGTTACCCTGGGGCAATAATGATGTTCATTGTTATTTCAGGGGTAACTATTCCAATTCAGACAGTCACTTGTTTTGTTGTACCCAATGTTTTTGGTGGATTTTTCTTGGTTTTGTGTAGATATATATGCAAGGTTTCTTTCAATCTCCAGAGAGAGCCATGTTATTGGTCCTGGCTCTTGTCAGGTAAGGATTATCTCGGAGGTTTAGTATAGTTTCCTCAGGCTTGCTAATATCAATACCAATGCTAAAGCTTGGGAGGCACCGAAAGCCCAATAAGAAAAAGGTGTTTCATTACATTCAATGCTTGATTTATTTTTACCATTATTAATTAGAAATCAGAATGATATTTTCATATTTACCATTAATAGTTATACGAATCAAAATGTCAAATGTTGCCTTTACCAAATATAAAGATAATATTTACCAAAAGCAGGCTCTTTCTAAGCTTGTCAATTTACTCCAATACTGTATACTTGCCTGTACAGTATTCGAGTAAAGTACAGTTGTCGTCATATGTTCATCTTCGGGGTAATTTGATTATCATCATATGGTGGTTTTAGTTATTATTATATTGCCCTTGTAATGTAAGTGATGTAAATATGGTAATAATACATATTTCTGGGTTCAATGAAAGGCAGGTGGTGACTTGTCTTGCAATAAGCTTGTAACTTGCTTATAGGCAACCCAACAATGGGTTTCAGAACACATTCATTATGTTTTTTGTATTAATAAAGGTACTCCTTCTCTTGCAGATTATGTTTCCTGAATTACTCAATCAAAAATACATATACATTTGCACCAAGCTGAATGCTGAGTATGTGTGGATTAATGATAGCCGCATGATTGTTCCAATGTTGGAGGATATAGATGGGCGGAGTGTCAAAACTCTCAAGATGACTGTGACCACTGGGCAGCTGGACTTCGATTTGGAATCTAATTCCTTTGATTTTCAGCATGTTATGAAACTGGAACCACTTTATATATTCCTTAGAACATTAACAAATCTAACAACATTGAAATGCTCTCAGTTGTGTAATAATTTCATGCTTCAACTTTTGTCAAAAAATTGTCCACACCTAGAGGAAGTTAGCATCGAAATGTGTATTGATGTAGATGATGAAGGCATTTTTCATTTAGGTGGTCATTTTCCATCTCAGGATACATATTTTCAGATTAGGAGAGGGGTGCAGATCCCCTCTAAGTCTGTTTGTACAAAGCTTAGAAAAGTTAATTTAGAGTATACACTAGCATGCACAGCTAGTGCAGTAATGTTGCTTCATTTGTGCCCAAATATTGAAGAACTCATGGTTACCCCTGATGTTAATATTGGAGATGTATTTACTATATTACATGGCAGTAATCCAGATAAATATGAAGACGTTACAAGCCAGTACTCACTCCGAGTTTTGCATACGTATATGGAGCTTGATGAAAATGTTTTGTCATTAATTGTCAAAACCTGTCCTCGTTTGCATGATGTAACATTAAGATGCAATGGGGTAGAGAGAAAGGATAGAAATTTTTTAGCAAATTTGCTAACTCTTGATCTAAAATCCCTCAATGTCATGAATTGTAGCATGCCTGCTTTGGTATGGTACTTGGAGAAAAAAGGGTGCAATCTAACAAGTCTAACTATTCAGCACCTTACCATGGCACCTTTGAGTCTGACCTTCACTAGAACTCACCTTCAGCGTGTAATACAAACCTGTCCCAATTTGAAAAACTTTTCATTAAAGCTGAACAACAATCCAATTCAACCTGATGTGCCTTACTCTGCATTTGGTTCCAATTTAGTGCATTTTAAGTCTCTTTCCAATCTGATCCTTGAAGGCACAACAATTACATCAGATGATCTTTCAGTGTTAGTAAGTAGGTGTGAACTGTTGCGTGAATTACATATTCTGTTCCATAATTTAGATATGCTCGAAGACCATGTCCTCTATGATCTACTGGCTTCAGGAGGTTTACATAATTTATGGACACTCTTCCTTAACCGTCCAATGTTGACATTAGCTGGCCTAAGAAGGTTACTTGATGAATGTCCACAATTAAGTACTGTTGGACCCCTTTCTTCTTGGGCTATAAGCAGGAAGGATCGAGATGCACTGCTGAAAGAAATTAGGATAAAGAATTGGGACTTGAATATTGAGAGCCCTGAGATGATGCACATGTTCATACTTTGAGAGAATAACTACTAACTAAACATCTGACTATTATTGCCATAATTGGAATGCTGGGCCCATAAAATTTTCATGGTGGGTTTTCTCTCTATATGTATTCATATATTTTGTTAATGTTCAGCACCTATATCTCTGTAGCCCATGAAATTTGAGGGATCTTGTCTTGCTTCATAACTGAAGTTCAACAATTTCTCCTAATTTGCTCACTCTCTTGTTTAATCCGTTTTATTGTTTCATAACATTCCAAGTTCCTACTTTTCTGAACCCACATTTGTTAATTTTCTGTTTTTTTTTGGCATTTGCAACTTCAATGTATTTAGCCCAATTTTAGGGTGTTTGTCATTGTTTCAAAATGATTAAATTACTATATGATCTCTACTGTCCATTCATTTTCAAAGAGTGTTTACATGTTAGGGAGAATTACTGTTGTTGTCACTTCATATTCACATCATGTGGCTTGGGAGACATTATAGGTGGTGTTGCAGATGAAAGGTCCCAGGGTCAATTTTCATGGCAAGACAGAAGCAGCATTAGGGCACCGTTCTCTTTCACACGTTGCCCCTGTTCATCTGGCAGTAAGCAAGTCTCTCAGAGTTGGGCAACTGTTGTGGGTTATGTTCTAGGAATGTAAGTAGTTGGCCTAGGGAGGACCTCAATAAGCCTGTCAGGCTTCCTGTTCCCGACTGTGGGGAACCAAACTTGAATGCTCAGAACTGTAATTTCAATTAATTGATTTCCAAGCTAATCATATTGAAAAAATGTTATACTTTTTTCTATTACCTTCGATTATTGCACTGAGTTGCACTATGTACTCACATTAAGAGAGTATTTGAATAATATTATGATAGGTTTCATGTTTTTTGCCCATAAGTTAGAAGTACAGTATTTATTTATTTATATATACAATTCTTACATTCTTGTAAAGCCACTAACATGAATAGCATTTCGGGCAGGTCCTTGATCCTAATTTTTCCCGGAACATGACCCACCAAATGGTTTAACAACCAGGTACCTATTCACTGCTGGGTGAACAGAGGCTACAGTTAAGGATTGGTGCCCGGTCAATCCTCCCCAGCCAGAATACGAACGCAGGCCTAAGCAGCTGGGCGAGTCTTACCACTGCACCACAGGAACTGCAAACCAGTACAGTATTTATCAAAAGGGCTAAGCCAGGGTGGCTGTACTAAATGTATAGCAGTGTGAAGGTAAGATATAATGCCTTATTTCTTGCATGTCTTCATGTCTTGTTTTATCTTCACAGATATTTATGATTAAATCAAAACTGTGATAAAGGTCGAAGTTTACAAATTTTCAAATGTTAAATCAGGCTCGGACATTTATAAATCGTCAGAGCAGAATATATTTTAGTCATTTAGGAATTGGGGGAAAAGTTATTATTTATGGAGTTACCATTATTTTAGCCTTCGGTGTTTACTCTATATACTGTACAGTAGTTATGAATACTTAGCAAATCAATTTTCTTGTTTTTGTTTTCATACTTCTCAGATTATTTGTCTATTGTGCTCCCTTCCTTATTATCTCAAGCTTTATTGACAAAGCAATAAGTAATTGCATAACTTTTATTATAACATTGAAAACAAAATATTGTGAGAAATTTTATGAATCTATTGGATTTTGAGTTCAATGTTTATCTGTGCTGCTTATAGAAGTTCAAGCAATTGGATTTGGTTTGCTATAAAAACTTTAAGGTAATGGATGTTACAATAAAAATGGCATTTAATTATAAAGTATGAAGTACTGCACATTAATGGGGTTTATTTTGTGGTGAGCATCTGGCAATATGATGTTTATTGCTGATATTGGTCATATAATTTGAAGACATTTAAATGTTTACCATTGTATCAAGTGAATCAACTGGAGCACCGAGGTGACTCGAACCAGCAATCAAGGAACTCGACTTACCAATGTACCACCACAACTTGTTATAAGTTATGCAACCTGGGATTCCATTTAATCCACAGGAAGTCTGGAAGTTTTTACTGAAGCTTCCAGTCCAATTTTTACATATAACCCACAAGCACTCGGGGTGTAGATAAAGTAATTGACCATATGCTCCGATTTCAGATACACAAAGAAATCACACTAGCTATATGATATACATCAATGAGAAAATCAACTGGACCACTGTAGTGACTCGAACTCGAGATCAAGGAGGGACCAGTCTTGGTGGTACAGTAGTAAGGTGAGCGGCTGGGAATGCCTTGGTCGCTGGTTCGGGTCACCTCTGAGCTGCAGTAGATCTACTCATTGGTATACTGTATGTCACGTCACTGTGATTTGTTTGTGTATTGTATTAAGTGATGTCGGCGGCGAGTTCTGTATGTATTTTGGGATACTTTACAGAAACAGTTAAATCTTGTATAATAGGTGGAGATATTTTATTATGTCTTATTTTATGTATTAAATATTAAAATACTAATAACTTATTGAGTATTAGTAGCCTTTAAAGCACAGTTGGAACAAATAGACTCCTGCTAACACCTGTGCATAAACATGAGTGTATGCACATGTGTAGATAGCAAATGCTGTACAGTACTGTAATTGTGTATTAACACTTGTTCCTTTGTTTGCATAAACACATCTATGCACATACAAAATAAACACTAGAGGAGATTATTTCATTGCACCAAAAATTATGGGCAATTCTTTAAACATTTTCAATGATTACAATATATTGTAAATTCATTATCAGAATTGAATAAAACAATAAATGATTAATATGAATTTTTTTGTTTAATATTGATGGAGTTTTATATACAGTATAGTACTGTATTACTGTATTTATAACATTTATTATCTTGATAAAAAATATTTGTATGAATGGGGCTAATATTGCACTGTATGTATACATGCTTTTATAATTATTTTGTAAATAATCCTGTAAATTAAGTTTGCTGTTACCTTTATACACTATGTTTTCTCCTGAATTTGAAGTTGTCATAATATTTAAAACATTTTCTGAATACCTATTTTAATTACTTGTGTTCCACAAAAGATAGTGATTTGACCTTCCCGGTACTTAATTAACACATGAAATTACATACAAAGCTTGAGTTTGTTTGGTTATTTGAAATAATTGAAAAGGTCTATTCTCACTTCCTTATAATGTTAGTGCCTAACGTCTGTTTATTCTGAGATACTTGTCTTTGTATAGATTTAAAATACAAGAGTTTCGTAATATTTGTAAAACCACGGCCCTTGTGGATTTGTTCATTTGATGCTTCATGCTATTGGGATTTCTGTTTGTAATGGTTTAAAATACCTCGTGCAAAGAATAAGTCATAATAACAGGGCTGAAGCAAATTACCCAACCCACAAATCTGAAATGAAATGAAAGTGATGAAGTTTTTGGTCTGACTAGACCCTTATCAAGTTGACAGGAAAATATCTTCTTTATCAGTTTTCTTCGATATTTTGTTATAAAACGAAAACATAAGCACATTATTCAACTATTCCACTACAAGGATGCAGCGCACCAGTCACACAAACCACCCAAAAAAAGTGCCGACCATTTCTGATGTAACACTGCCTGTTATTAATTGTAACACTGATATTTGTAAAACTACGCGGATAATGCACATGAATCAGACTGGGAGGGTCTGCCATGCCAGTGAAATGCCTACCCAGTTGAGGCAGGAGAGGTGAGAAGTGCCAGGTGTATAATGTGTGCCTGATACTCTTGCAGTGTAATAATGTTGGATCATTAAATTTGGCCACTCATTTTTCAAGTTACTGCTGCCACTACTCCTCAATTACAGTCTCCATGGCATGGTGGTTAGACACTCGCCTGGCGTTCCGCAAGCGCTTTGTCCTGGGTTCGTGTCCTGCCTGGGGAGGATTTACTGGGCGCAAATCCTTGATTGTTGCCTCTGTTTAACTCAACAGTAAAATGGGTACCTGGTTGTAAAAACGATTCTTCGCGGGGGTCGTATTCCAGGGACCATAGGATTAAGGCCCTGCCCGAAACGCTACGCGTACTAGTGGCTGTACAAGAATGTAAGAACTCTTGTATATATCAATAAAAAAAAAAATATTACTGATTATACTAATTAGGCCCCGAAACTCTTGAGAGAAGTCCCGAGTAGTCTTTAATTTTGAGAATTACTGGATGTAAATTAATTGAATTCTAAATGGATAATTACAGGGGTATATATAATTATTATACGCTCAAGATATTGCGTATAATAATTATTATACGCAAACAACAATTTGGAGAACTGTCCAAATTCACTCAACACCTATGTTTCAGAATTAACTAAAGAAAATATACTGAAATGCAGGATAAAGTCTAATCAATACTTATTTATCAATGGCAATCTAATAACCCTATGCTAAAACATTCTATTGCCAAGAAGCAAGGTGGGACAGGTTGTACAGGAACTCAAAACAGACATTTACCTTGTACGATTATGTTACGTTTATTTGCTTGATTAAATACACAGGGTTTAGTGGTTTTGATATTTATTTAGTAGTCTTTGTTGGTAGTGTCGTAGAAGTTAAGAGGAAGCCTGGAGCAGAGTAGTGAGACCCGGAGTCGCCGAGTTCGATGCTGTCTAAGCTGAAGTGTCTTGGGGTCGTCTGGAACTGGACTTGTCGAGTGTTACATTTTTTATGTTGAAGGTGTGCGATAACTCTCAAGCGTCAGTAATGAACCACTGTTGAAAATATACTGATGATTATTCTGTTGCTTTAGATTCAGCTACTGAGAACAAAAAGTTCCAAGTAGCATGGGGGTATGTTGACCCCGTAGTGGACTTACCTGGCACAGGAGATGAGCTGCAACTGGAAGCTGATTCACAGCTCTCCATCTAATATTGCTTCCAGAGGCCTTTATATATAGGAACACCCACTCAGTTGGAGGAGAAAGTGGTCTAATGGATGATTATTCGATTGATGAAGCTTAAGCCACCCAAGAGATAGCATGGGCATGAATAGCCCGTAAAATGATTATTCATGTTATAGATTCAGCTACTTGGAACAAGTTCCAAGTAGCACGGGCTATGGTGAGCCCGTAACTTACCTGGCACAGGAGCGGGGCAAGTAGCACGGGCTATGGTGAGCCCGTGACGTGCTTGTCTCTGAAGCTAGACACAAATATAGTGAAATAATCAATGATAGAGTCAGAGTTTATCTCCTGTGGATTCCTTCCTATATTGGTCTCCGAATGCGTGATAGAATTGATGAGTTGGCCAAGACTTTTGCTCATAAAAAGGGAATTGATTACCATCTTGGACTGCCTTTGAGTAGTCTGCGGGCATTAATATTCCGGGAACATCAACAAAATCTTGTAGACTTGAGGCAAAGTGAAATTCACACCAATTTCTCCATCTATCATCATTCTATTGTGCAGGAAGAACCGCACATCTATGGGTCATCCAATAATGTTAGCAGACTTCTAGATGTTACCATTGCTAGGCTTGGGCTCGGCTACAAGTACCTCTGGGAGTTTGTAACATCTGCTGATGTAGATTTGACTAAATGTAAACTCTGTCAGCAGAACTATTCGCATACTTTGCGTCATTATATAATGGAATGTGAAAAAATCGCGGAATTCAGAGATAACACTATCAATGGAGTCCAAGAAATGTGTAAGTACTTCATTCATGATGATATACTGCCGGGAATGTTAGCGAAGTATCCAAAATTTGCTTACTGTATATAATTTACATTCGGCAGTAAATCCCGGTTTATCCCCCATCCCTCTCTCTTTCCAATACTAATATTAATTGCAATATTAAGAAGTGAAAATTGTCTAAAAAGCTCTCCTGGGAGAAAAAAAAACATTTCAGACTTCATAGGAATTGCAATAGAAGCTGATCCTTCTTAAAGAAGGTCGACCCCAACCCAACAATGACACTCCATACAATCGCAACTCACCAAGCAAAGTTACGTGAGTCTAGCCTCAGGCGTCTGGCTTTCAGCCTTGGACAGACAGACAAACATAACCTTTGTTTATATATATATATATATATATATATATATATATATATATATATATATATATATATATATATATATATATATATATATATATATATATATATATTAACAAAAAAAAGGTGCCAAGCCCGAAGACTGTTTATCATATCCTCATATATACAGAACACCTTGCCACTTCCAATAGGTCCATCCCGTTAAATAAGTATTTCATCTGTGTGTAAAAACATGATTCCATTGGCATTGTCCCCCCCTTGTAATTCTCACAGAGTACGGGTAACAGAGGCACGTGTAACTCTTTAATATATGTACTGACATAGCGTGGGAAGTGAGAGAGACGCGTGTCCCCGGGGCTATAGTGAGCGTGACTGAGGGATACGCCTCGCTGGCACCCACACGCCGCCCTCCACGACTGCCACTTCTCGGCTGATGCTCTGTATTATAATAAAAATACCAAATACATATATCATTCCATGCTAATGACAGCAAGATTACACTCCTCATACCAATCAACAAGAACAACAATGAGTCTGATTTACTTTGAATAAATCAGCGAAAGAAGAAACAGAAAATCTGAAGAAATACATCCCGTAAACTTTCACTTTTAACAGGTAAGCAAGTTGAAAGAGCCAATAAGAATACAGACAGAGTTAAATGTGGCTAGCTATTGGTCGGTGTGGTTGATGGTGGTGCTTAGTGGCGAGGTGCGAGGAGGGGGAGTGAGCCCAAGACGGTGACTTCAACGCCATCTCAGTCAGTCGTCCGTCGCGAGCAGGAGTACCAGGAGGTTAACGCCAGTCTTGTGCCTCTCCTTCAGGAGCTGTGAACACCCCTTATACCTGACGCTGAGACCTCTACCTCACCTCCCAGAACACGGTGACGAGTGCTACTGGGGGACTCATTGGTTACTCAGGCGGTCGAGTGACGTTCTAAGGTGGTAGAGGAGGAGGTGAAGGATATCCTTGAGGAGTGTGTGGAAGGAGTTCCTTGAGAGAGTGTGTTGTGAGGGGGCTGGAGGAGGTGCTGCAGGAGGCGTGGAGAAGCAGGACGCCGCCAGGGGCATGGCCTGAAGGTGAGTTACAACAAGTTCCTGGTACAGGTGTGTGACTCATCCCGGCGCTATATACACCCAGCCCACCGCGGTACTCATCACTCACCTCTACACCTGGCTGAGGCGTGAGGCAGGTGTTCGCCTGCTGAGGCGTGAAGCAGGTGTTCGCCTCGCCTGCTGAGGCGTGAGGCAGGTGTTCGCCTCGCCTGCTGAGGCGTGAGGCAGGTGCCCGCCTGCTGCTGCTGAGGCGTGAGGCAGGTGTTCGCCTGGCCTGCTGAGGCGTGAGGCAGGTGTTCGCCTCGCCTGCTGAGGCGTGAGGCAGGTGTTCGCCTCGCCTGCTGAGGCGTGAGGCAGGTGTTCGCCTCGCCTGCTGAGGCGTGAGGCAGGTGTTCGCCTGGCCTGCTGAGGCGTGAGGCAGGTGTTCGCCTCGCCTGCTGAGGCGTGAGGCAGGTGTTCGCCTCGCCTGCTGAGGCGTGAGGCAGGTGTTCGCCTCGCCTGCTGAGGCGTGAGGCAGGTGTTCGCCTCGCCTGCTGAGGCGTGAGGCAGTAACAACAAACTAACACTGAACTATGGATTAACATGTTAAATATATTTGTTTTAATAATATTTCCCGTTTAGGCTGTTATCTCAAATTTGACTCGTTAAGGAGCAAATGCACGCACACACACACACGGCTACACTTGTGTATACATGGATAAACGTACACACACACACACACACACACACACACACACACACACACACACACACACACACACACACACACACACACACACACACACACAGGTACATACAGTATAAGTATTCAAGGTTAAATGTACACATGCACGCACATATTTAGATATACACACGTACTACTCTCACTCTGGTGGAAGGTAGGAATAGAAGCGAGTCGATTTTGTTTTTATTAGCACATTTAGGAACATCGGCATTTGTGAAGCTACTCTAGATTATATGAAGAGGGAGTACAGTGTGAAAAAGCTAGCTACGTGATGCTAAAAATCCCCATCTCGCATAGTCATACGAATCGAAGAAATATAAGGATATATACCCGTACTCTTCTATACGGGTGGTCAGCAAGTGGAATGCACTGAGAAGAAGTTGAGGAAGCCGCCTCCATCCTCAAATTCAACAATGTATTCGAATGTCAGAATAGTTCAGCTGTAAGGCAACAGTTACCACAAGGCTGGTAGGCGGAGCATAAAGGGCTTTTATAGACCTCACTTCCCCGTAACTACTGATGGGTAAGCGCTGATGGGTTAGGTTTGATAGGCAAGTACTCTCATTGCTCGCGCTTATATGAACGGTGTAGTGGCGGGCGCCTTGAAGCACTGACCTGACGTGTCACGGTAGGCGAGCCTCACCACGTGCTTCAAGGGAGGCCACGTGCTTCAAGAGAGGCCACGTGCTTCACGGAGGCAGTGTGGCCGGGAATAAGAGCAGGTGTGAAGCAGGTGTGGTGGCCAAGGTGTAGCGCTGGGGTAGTGGAGGGCAGACCAGGAAGTGGCCCAGTGCCACCCGTGCCACACCTTGCGTTGTCATAGTACAAGGTCGCCACCACCTCCCACTCCAGTTTCTCCCCCTGCTTCTGATACCATTTAGCATCGTTAAGTGCCTGGTGCGGTGAAAGCTGATTGTCTTGATTGTTCCTTCATCTGCCGCCGCCGCCACATGATTCAGTAACCTCCAGCCAGGGTTGTCAAGGCCACGAGGTGACCCTTTCCCCAGTGAGCCATTGGTGTGACTTCCAGCCAGCCAATGGTGTGGCCCTTCACCTATCAGCCAGCTAGAGGTGTGCAAACTCCCCCCCCCCCCCTCCACCTGCCCATTAGACAATGGTGTGACCTCTTACCTGCCTGCCAGCCAGCCAGCCAGCCAGCCAGCCAGCCAGCCAGCCAGCTAGCCAGCTAGTGGTGTGGCCCCTCTACACCTGCTGGTGGTAATCAGACTTTAAAACTGTCCACCTGTGTTCCTGTGTCAGGTCAGCATGGTCACCGACGAGTCTATCATATATATTTGCGATGGTATCCTATAACTTTGACTGTGGTTGGTTAGGTCTAAATGGCTCTTTGGATACAAATTGGCTCCTTGAGCTGTTAAGTTGAATATCTAGTATTTTAAAGTGTAAGTTATGTGTGGGGGGGGGATGGTACGGGTACCTGCTGCATTATGTGACAGTTCTGTGAATTGAGGGCTGTGTGACTGGTGTTAGTCTCCCTCTATCCCTCTATTGGTTGGGAAGGCGTCCTTGGTCTGTGCTAGTAAAGCCGTGATGCATCAAGACTGGCAGCATGTTGTTGTTGTTAAAGATTTAGCTACTCAGGACGAAGTGTCCATGTAGCACGGGCTATGGTGAGCCCGTAAGACTGGCAGCAGCTCCCACTGAGCGCCCGCCTGCGGTGTGTGTGTGTGTGTGTGTGTGTGTGTGTGTGTGTGTGTGTGTGAAGGTGGTCTGGGATAGCCTACTGGTACGCGTTCTTCACCCACTCACACAGCTGTCATTTTTATGATCTAAGTCCCCCGAGGTGAAGGGAAGGGGGGGGGGGGGGGACAGGAGACAGCGGCAAGCCATTACGACTATATGGCACTGGGAAGGGGTCAGGATAAGGATTTGGGATGGGACGAGGGAGGGGAAGGAATGGTGCCCAACCACTTGGATGGTCGGGGATTGAACGCCGACCTGCATGAAGCGAGACCGTCGCTCTACCGTCCAGATCAAGTGGCTGGGTGTCCCTGAGGGGAGCAGGTCCACACTGTGAGGAGTGAGGAGAAGCAAGTCCACACTGTGAGGAGTGAGAGGAAGCAAGTCCACACTGTGAGGGGTGAGGGGGAGCAGGTCCTCACTGTGAGGAGTGAGGTGAGGTAAAGAACTCCTCACTGGCAGGCAAACTATGGGAATCAATTGACTAGCCTCATACCTTTACTTAAAACACAAATCCCTCAATACCTAAAGCACAGCTACCTCAAAGGTGGTGTTGCTGCACGCTGCATGACTTTTCAAGCAACATGTTGCGTGTCCACACTGGAGGAGCGACGTGGGAGTGGCTCCAAGGTTCACTGTGGGCGGCGTGGAGGCCTGTGACGTGGGCGGCCAAGGACGTGATGCCGCTGTGAGGGGAAGTTGACGCGGGTGTGACAGCTGGTGGTGATGGGGTGACGTAACAGCTGGTGACGGGGTGACGTGACAGCTGGTGATGATGGGGTGACGTGACAGCTGGTGATGGAAGACATGTAAACATTGCGTGAAAGATGTCCCAAATGCCACCTCGACTCTCGCAACGCTTTTGACTTAATGTAGTATCAAGGGACCTTAGTTTGGTAAGTCAACCTGTCCTCTCGCCTAATGTCATATTCTCCGTTAAAAATGTGATGCGTTACTAAAAACTTTAAACCGCCCGCAATATTGACGTATTCTGAGCATCGTCCTCAATAGGTTAGGTGGGTTGTCGGGGTTTGTACGTTCTGGTTAGGCAAAATAGTCGCATTTTTGACGTAGTAGCAAATTGAGAGAGCATGCCGTAGTTAAGCCTTTACCAGTACCAATCTTTCAGTTCCACGTGAGAACGACCAGGCTCGTATAATTTGCCTGAATTTACCTGAGGGCCACTATCTCTAGTGGCCTCCACGAGAACAGGTAGCCGGCGGGTTGTCAAAGAACCAGCATTTGTTCCGGTGATTTTATCTATTTGAATCTTAAATTTTAGCACAATAAAACTGTTTGGTCGTACGTACAAAAACGGACTGTTGCCGCCAACAATGTTCATGTCTTGTACTCTTTAATTTTACAAGAGTACAAAGAAACAATAAAACCCAATCAACTATAGGTTTAATATAGCACATGTGTAATATATTAGGCCCAAGATAGCGCTCATAAGACCTAAGACTACTTGGTCAGATTAGGTAAATACAAAATGCAAACATTTTCGGGTACAACAGTCAGGTTTTTGGGGTCGACTGATCAGGTAGTTGCCGTAGGTGCTATTGTTATTATTAATGGATGACCTGGAGTGTCTTGGATAGCCTGTGTGCCTGGACATGTTGACGGCCCTCCCTTCACCCCTCCCTCCATCCCTTCACCCCTCCCTCCATCCCTTCACCCCTCCCTCCATCCCTTCACCCCTCCCTCCATCCCTTCACCCCTCCCTCCATCCCTTCATCCCTCCCTCCATCCCTCCATCACCCTCCCTCCATCCCTTCACCCTGTCCTCACACATTCAAACATACACTTTCTCCAAGACTCTCATTATGGATTCATTGCGCGTGACCTCACTACCGTGGTACACTCTACTGTCACACTACACCTTCACTACACTCTTTGTTTACAACACGACACTTTGTTTACACCACCACACATGCCCGACAACACCACACGTGTTCGACAACACTAGAACATATTGGTTGGGCCGTGTCATTATATCATTTCGGCAAGTGGACATGGCCCAGTCCTCCTCCTCCTGTAGGTAGGCCATTATATTCCCCTCTCGTATCTTCAACCTGTTTCTTGGCTTCACTCATTCAACTCTACTAGACCTGTAAATTGAGTGACAAATAACGCGGCTCACACGTATGGAATGAAATGAATCACGACGTTTCGACCCATCCTGGACCAAGGGGGGGTCCAGGATGGGCCGTGAGAATCAAGAATGATGCTTGATGCTCCGCTGCACCAAGTCGTGAGAATGATGCACTGGTCTATGGCTCCAACACTCGTGTTCCAAGGTCTTGGCTTAGGCTTCATTTTAGGTAACATCGGGTGTGATGTGGCTGGCGGATCCTCTCCTCTTCATTTGGCTCTGCGATATGTTGTGTCAAGAATGTTTTTGTTTTTTTGGCGTTCACCAATTGTGTTCGGCAGGCTTTCATTATCTGCAGGATCCTTCATTATCTAGTTATTTTTCTGTGGTTAAGATAATCGAATATTAGGCATTGTCTCTCGCTGCTATTGCCACTGTGGGAGAGGGCGGAGGTGTGAATGTGACGGGCGGAGGTGTGAATGTGACGGGCGGGAGTGTGGCTGTGAC